GTTTTAAAAAAGGTTATAAAAAATGTCAATAATTATTGATACCGAACGTCGAACGGTATGAAACATTATATCGTTGATAAATTTTTTTGCTATATCGCCCAGCCCTACATTGTATTGATTGCAGAGGGTGAAGACACATTGCTTTAATACAGTATGATTTTTGGCTTTATTTAAAGGTGCACTCAGTAAGTTTTAAAATCAAATGTTTTAAATATTGTACACTTGTGAGATGATGTTAGTCATATTAGTGGCCTAATAAAAGCCATTTTATTTTACATGCAGGTTGCTCCTCACATGACCAACCTATTATCATACATAGATATATGTTTTATGAATATGTGTTTCTTCAATGGCATTGGTAACCTGAAACTTTTGTGTTTGGGTTAATAATTAAGTGCACCTTTAAAACTATAAAACAATGCTCTGAATAGTATACTATATAATTTCTGAATGGTATATTGAGAACTGTTTATTTATTAATTCATTTCATATTTTATATTTGTTCATTCATTTGTTTGTTCATTCTGAAAAACATCCTGTGTGTGTTCTTCATTTTAGAGTTTTATAAGTCTCATATAATCTGAATTCTGGCTAATTAGCCACAGTTTTACTTGTTATTAAAACTGCAGAAGTTAAAGTTTTATTGATTTAAAATATTTGTGCTTTAAAGCTGATTCATTTTGGGTCTAATGGAGTAGACAATGCTTTTTAGTGTTATGTATATACTATTATAGATTATAATATTATATATAGTATTTATATTATGTATTTTGAATTAGCTTATATTAGTTTTCATTTTATTTTTATTTTTAGTCATTTTTGTAAGTAGGTAGTAAGAATATATTCTGAATAGTATACCAACTACTTCCTGAATGGTATATTCAGAATACTAATGTTTCGGGCCATTGAAATTGTGTTTAATTGTTTTCATGACTATTAAACAAATTTTCCCTCATAATTATCATTAAAACATTTTTACTGTTCTTATTATTTAAAATAAAGTTTCTTAGTGGTGTAGTACAATCATTTTTGCCATTATAACTATAAAAAATGATGTAGTATGTGTAACGATGCATTATGTACTGTAGCTGTAAACATTTCAAACAGTAGTGTTGCATTGTTGTCACATGACTTCATGTTGCATGCAGGATATTTGCATATTTTTCTCAGTATGCATAGCACATACTGCAGAAATAGTAAAAGTAGTATGCTGATATGCTTTCCAAACACAGGAAAGCCGTTTAGCTCTGCTCTTTGATGCCCTCTAGTGGTGGTTCGTTGTTCAGTCTTGTTGATTCCTTCCAGGTTCCCTTTGCAGTTGGAGAACGGCCAAACTGTAGAACGAACAGTAGCTCAGTATTTCAGAGAAAAGTACAACCTGCAGCTCAAATACCCCCACCTGCCCTGCCTACAGGTGGGCCAGGAGCAGAAACACACCTACCTGCCCCTGGAGGTCAGTGCTGTCACCCACACATTAGATTCTGTTAATATTTTGAATGACCAAAATGAGAAGTGTTGCCTTTGCAACTAGCTGATATAAAAATAAAAGTTTCAATTTCTTTTACTTTATTTCACTTAAGGTTTATTTCAAGTAATTGTTTATGGATTAAGTTAGTGAACTGTAGATTTTGTTAATATATTGAATTAGTTTTTATTTTTATATTTTCTGATTTTACTTAAATTTTAGTTAATGTTTTAGTCATTTTTTGTATGTATTTATGTTTGTCATTTTTTTGTTTACTTTTAGATCTTTTAGTACTTTAAGCTAAATGAAAATGAGAAGTGTTGCCTTGGCAACTAGCTGAAATAAAATGAAAAAAAAAAGTTTTTTTTTATGGTTTAAGTGAAAATATTTTTTGTATTTATTTTAATTTTAGTTAAAGTTTTAGTCATTTTCTTGTGTGTTTTTGTCATTTAAAAAAAAGTTGATTTTATTTCAAGTATTTTTTATGGTCTTAGTTTTAATGCCTATAGTTTTTGTTAAAGGGGTCCTATTATGCTCTTTTACAAAGTCTTGATTTTGTTTTGGGGGTGTACTAGAACATGCTCTCATGCTTGGTGGTTCGAAAAACGCATTATTTTTCACATAATTTACATTATTAAAATACCTTTCTCCCCAGGCTGGCACAAACGGCTCGATTAGTTCCGGCTTTGATGAAGGTCCGCCTTCCGAAAAACAAAATGCGTTGTGTTTGGTTCGCTGTCCCAGTGTGTTGTGATTGGCGAACTTGAATTAGATTTTGTTTTTATATTTTCTGTTTTTAATTTTAGTAGAAGTTTTAATAATTTTGTTGTATGTATTTCTATTTATCATTGTTATTGGTTTATTTTTTATTTTTTATTTCATTTAGTTTGTTATTTTGGTATGAATTATTATTTTAGAAATGTTTCCTTGGCACTAGCTGAAATAAAAAAAAATCTATATACAGTATATATATTATTAGTTCAGTTCTGATGCCGTTTACTTGCTGCTGTTCTCGCAGGTGTGTAATATTGTAGCAGGGCAGCGGTGCATCAAGAAACTGACAGATAATCAAACCTCCACCATGATCAAAGCCACAGCGCGATCAGCACCAGACAGACAGGAGGAGATCAGCAGACTGGTGAGTGGCATTTATATCTATAGTCACGCACTTAATTTGGTTGCGTAATAATTCATATCCACAGCATCTATGTATTTAAATCTCTTCTCTCATGTTCCTGCTGTCCGTGCGGTCCATCTGATTGAGTTCAGGTTGCTGTCTGTGTTAATGTAGGTCAGCCATGATGTTGTGAGCTGATTAGCTGTGATCTCTCTACAAGAGCACTTTGTGAACTCTTTACCCCGTTCCCTGCAGATTTACAGTCTTCCAGCCGTCAGTTCTGAGCTAATAATGCGTGATTGAAGCTCTGCTGCTCTTTATACCTTATTAAAATGACAGCCAATCAGGTGCTGAATCAGTGTTGCCGTGGCTGGTTTTTCATTTAGATGTAGAAATCTCTAAACAAGAGTGGAGAGGCTGCGTGGGAGGAATGCAACTGACGAGGCCAATGAAATGCTTCAAAACGAAAAAGTCTTTCTTTGAGACTGAGCTTAAAATACCACGGTGAGAGTATTTTTACACTGTGAAGTACAGCAGGATCTGAGCTGGGATATCTTCAGCTCGCAGCATGAAACGCTTCTGATAAACATCCTGCGTGTTCACTCCGTCTCAGGAGAGTTTCTTCATTTCAGTCTCATTTAATCTGAATTCTGGCAGTTTTACCAGTGATCTGGACTGCAGGAGTTAAAGTGTTAACATATGAGTAGTTTTATTAATTCAAAATATAGGTTTTAAAATTTACTCATTTTAGGACTAATAGACAGAGCTATTTTAGTATTATTTGTGTAATATTATAGCTTTAATTAGCTATTATTTTTATATTTTTAGTTTTATGTGCTTTTGTAATTTTTATTATATTTTTTTAAAATGTATGTGCATATTGAATTTAGTTTAGTGATTTTAGTTCTTCAATATTTTTAATTAGCTTTTATTTTTATATTTTCAGTTTTCATTTTAGTTTTAGGTTTGTGCTATTGTCATTTATAATGTTTTAAAAAATATTTCTGTTTAGCTTATTTTTATTTCAGTTTAGTAATTTTACTAGTTCAACTGTAACTTACTTTATTTTAGTTATTTTATTTTAGTGTTTAGTTTAATTTAACTGTAATTTAATTTACAGTATTTATTGATATTTTTAATTGGCTTTTATTTTTTTATTGTCAGTTTGTCCTTTTGTCATTTTTATTATAATTTTTTAAAAATATTTTCGTTTAGCTTAATTTTTTTTTCAGTTATAGTTTTAGTACTTCAACTTATTTTATTTTAGTTAGTTGCCCAAAAATTTTTTCTGTTTTTATCTGTTTATATTTTATTTAATTAAAACTTTTTTTTAAATTAACAAAAATAATTTTTTAAATAGTTTTAGTTAACAAAAGTGTTCATTATAAACCTAATTAATGGTACAAACATCTGTTTTACCGCTTACTACTTTAGAAATTGCCTTATGAATTTAAACTGACACATAAGCACTGCTTACATGCATTAATGAGATTTGAAATTAAGTTGCATGTTGTTTTATTTTATTTAGATGCATAAAAACTAAATGCATTAAAAAGAAAGCGCTACATATTACAATATATTCAGAGCAATTAAAAAAAAAAAAAAAAAAAATCATGTTAAAAGCCTTTTCACATATTGGCAGCTCTACCACTGACTCCTGTTCTTGCAGAATGTGTCAGCAGGTGTTTGTGTGTGTGTTTGCAGGTGCGCAGTGCTAACTATGAAGCAGACCCGTTTGTGCAGGAGTTCCAGTTTAAGGTGCGAGACGAGATGGCTCACGTGACGGGGCGTGTGTTGCCTGCGCCCATGCTGCAGTACGGGGGCAGGGTGAGCACAGAGCACTTTATGGTACCCTTCCTTTCAATCACCCGCATCTCTCTGTGTCTGTCTGTCTGAATGAATGAGTGAACTGCTCGTCTGGAGGAACTAACAGCTCCTAACCGCTGCTGCAGTGTGTGTGTGTGGAATAACTCCTAAAATAAACTAGTTTGCAGTGATTTTTCTCCAGTTATGCACTTGTATGCACCATTTTAAAATTAAAGGATGTTTATTATCTTCGAGTTAGGCTGTCTGTGTAGTCTGAGATTGAATTATGGTTTTGTGTGATTTAGTCCGTTACATTTACATGCTTTTTAAATTACAGGATGAAGGCAGTCGTAACACTTTTATACTATATTAAAAGTTATGCATTTAGCAGATACAGTGGGTACGGAAAGTATTCAGACCCCCTTAAATTTTTCACTCTTTGTTATATTGCAGCCATTTGCTAAAATCATTTAAGTTAATTTTTTTTCCTCATTAATGTACACACAGAACCCCATATTGACAGAAAAACACAGAATTGTTGACATTTTTGCAAATTTATTAAAAAAGAAAAACTGAAAAATGCTCAGTATTTAGTAGAAGCACCCTCTTGATCTAATACAGCCATGAGTCTTTTTGGGAAAGATGCAACAAGTTTTTCACACATGGAAAGCATTTTTATGATTATCGGTCATTTTCAAAACCGATTCGCCGATAAAATAACTTAATTTTGAAAGCGCTATTTGGCTCTGATGCAGCCTGTCAGAACTCACCACTCTGTGGCCTAAAGCAATCTCCACACACCGCCCATCTGATTTGCTGGGAGTCACGAGTCCGACTAATCAATGCGGAATTCACTCTCACTCCGAAAGCGCTTGCTAACTGGAGCTGCTTCAGTGATCACGCATCAGTTGTCTCTCAAAGGTAAGGCAGCAGCAGACATTGCTTAAGTTGCAATAAATTACAATGGTCAAAGTGTGGATGAATTAATCAAAAGTAGGTCAGTACACTTAAATGGAGTCGCAATATGGACTTGTATCTGTAAATATTAAGCCGCGAAAATACTATTTAAATATGAATCCAGCATGTTCTGCGTGTCTCTGTATATGTAAATGGCACAGACGCCCAGTTTTGTTTTCTACACATACAAAGTGTGCGATGCTCGCGGTGATT